GACATCATCTGCTATTAAATATTCTTCTCTAAGCAATGTCATCCTCCAGCTTATATCTTAAGGGAGTTTCATGACTCTCTCCTGATACAACCTCATAAATTCCTTTTTCTTCTCATGCTGTATTTTCTCTTCAAGCAATTCTTCATCTTCTAGTTTATAAAATCCTTCAGGCCAGTCAAAAGATGTCTCATTCCACTCATCCCTGCTGTTCACCCTGCTGTTCTCTCCTGGAGAATTGGTGGGCTGGTTGAAGATGGATGAAGAATGAAGCCTTAGCACTATGGAGGAGCTGTTCTTCATGCCAGCTGGTGCTGAGTTTGACCTTAGTAGAAGACTGTGTTTAAAGTTGATAGATTCTGACTTTAGAGCTTCCTTCACTGCTGCTGCTTCTGTCTTCTGACTCCTCCAGGTCATAGTAATACTGGCAGAACTGCTCATAGATGAAGAGGTTGAGGAATAGAGCAGCAATTTGACTTTAGAGGAATTGCTAGAAGCTTCACTTGCTAACTCATATATAGCAGAGAGTGGTTGGATTCCATAGGTGAAGAGAGATGGACCAAGGTTACAGGAAAGGAGACTGTTGATCAAAGGCATTGGCTCAATTCTGAATCCTGCAGAAGGTGGTAGATAGGGGGTTCATCATTCAGCTTTGTTGGCAGTGACAATTTCTGCTGTGTTGGTCCAGCTGGACTCTCAGAAAGGCAGATCACTGGCTTCTGTCTGATTTCTGAACCACCAGAGATCATCAGATCTCCAGATGGCAGCTTCAAGGTTGTGCTGCTGACATCAATACTTGGTGTCATGCTGGGCAGCAAAATATTCTTCTTCTTGTCAGACACATATTCTATCTATGCTGCTGGTTGAGTTATGTTCTTCAAGGTCTGCAATATCTGCATAAAACCACTCATTTGGGTTTTCTGATAGCCTAGCCTCATCAGCTTGATATCTCCTGCTGGCACTGTTAGGATTGAAGTTGCTGAGCCCTCTGCTTCTAATACTGGAGTTGGAGGAGCTTGCAGGACTCCTGTTAGAGGTTGCATAGAGAGAGTTGTGGCCAGAGCCTGTAGGCATCCTGGTGGCATTAAAGGAGTCTCTAGCATGATTGCCAATTCTGTGTTTGGAGGAGGCAGTGGAAGAGTCAGGAGATGGTTCTGCATCAAAGAAGTTATTAGAGAGGTCTTCATCTTCATAGTCTGAGATCAGAGGGAGGTTCAGTAGATTGCAAGGGAGATTGTTTCAGATCAGATGTTGAGAAGTTCTTGGGGGATATCAGTGCTCTTCTTGTTTTATTGGAAGAACTCCTGTAGTTGTGCTGTCAGATTGGGCTTCTGGTACAGTTTCTTGCATGTGCTAATAGGAGTTTTAGGCAGTTGCTGGGATGTCATAGAAGAGGGAGATTAGCAAGACATTTCAGATGATTTGCTGTACTATTCTGAAGGTGTGATAGTGCTGGACTACCCACATGATTATGCAGACATTGGCAGGCAATGAGACATTAGTCTGATTGTGGACAAACAGCATAGTGAAGAATTCATCAACATTTAGTCCTGAATCAAGATTTATAGACATCAAAGATAGTACTTCATATATAGAATCATTATCCTAGCATGCCTTAGTGAGCTTTCCAAGTACTTAGGAGTGAAACATACCTATATTTTTCTTATTGTCAATTTTCCTTCTCTTTTTCTGGAGAGACAATTGCTCTATTATCTGCTTGACTCCAGATTTTAGAGCTGCTACAGCTTTTGCAATATTTGATATTCATTTAAGGATGTATTTTGGCTTTTAGGCCATGCTTGAGAAGCCAAGCAATGCATCTCAATATGTATATCAATATAAAAATAGGTGCAGAAACTCTAGATCTGTTAATTACTCTGTTTGCATGAAGTTACAGGCTAAATTCTTACTGGAACTAAATTTCTGAGCTTTTAATGCATAATTTGTTTTTTTTTTCTTTTTTTGTAGTGCTATAGTGAGAGCCTATTAACAAGATTAAATCACTCTCAGGGAAAGGAAAAGGAGAGCAGAGATTTCACCCTGCATCATAAGAAAAGGTCTATCCAGAGAAATATTCACAAACATGTCCTTGTCAGGATTGTGTGGGAATCAGCCTCATTTGCATGTTTCAATCATTATAGTGATAGCTGTTGTCCACTAAAACCCTGGTCATTCAGATTCAGTTATCCAGCAGTTCTCCTCCATCTTGTTTAGATATTAATCCACTTTAGATGTCAAGAACAATTCACTCTCATGTTGCTTTTGGGTCAAATCTGAGTTTGTCAGTCATTAATTGATTGTGTTTGAAGCACTGACTCATCACATTGTGCCATCTTTCTGTGACCTCATTGTTGGTGAAACCATATTCTAGGTTGTTCTCTCTCATGATTTGCTAATGAGCCTCTAGGCTCTGTATGCTCTGAAATTGTGGGTCTCAATAATTATTTTTAACTTCTATCCTTAGACAGGCTTTTAGTAAACCAACCATTCCAGATTCAATGACAGTAATTTCATCAAGAACTATTCATTATTCACATACATTCTCTTATGCAAAAGATCATATATTACACATAAACTTTTCTTTTGTCTGTAAACTTTTCTTGATCTTGCAAACTTTTTCTCATTAATGTTCATGATGCACAAACTTTCTAATCAATAATAAGTGCTGTAGGTATGGTCCAGCACCACAATATCCAATCAGACATAGATTATTATTAGTATACATGTGACACCCTAAGGCAGCCCATCAGGCCCATCATGATGCATATATGAGGCTGGCTGTAAATATCTAAGTTTTTCACAGCTAGCATGTGAAAGACTAGTAGACCACAGAGGATTAACTATATGGGTGGTTAAGTATTTGTAAGGAGTATTAGGAGGACTATCATGCTATTGGTTATGCAAACTTTTAAATATGCTATGTTTACTACTAGTCTCACAGCCTTAAAGGCTTTGTGTAATTAAAAAAAGTTCACTATGCTCACTAAGCTTAGTACTGTGATTACAAGGGCTGTTTAAATGTAGCATACTTAGTATTAGTAAAGCAGTAGTATAAGTAGTGTACTATATAAAGGAGAAACAGGAGACACATAAGCTATATCAAAACCACTTGACATCTATACTAAACTGTACACCTGTACAACACCCCTCTAATAGAACCAGTTACACAGACCACATATAGATCAATATCTCTCAACTGAGAGCACTATAGCATCTCAACAATCTTGTGCCCTATCTGGAGGCTGGCATACAACATCAGTTAACTTATTAATTTGCAAAATATTGACTTGTCTTGCTTCATTCTTAAAAACATAGAAGAGACCCACTGCTCTTGCATGTCATCCTCACATCTCCTAGACCTAACAGAAGACTTTGAAGGGTAACTATAGATAGTATTCTGCACTTTTAAACTTCAAACACTATAACCTACTGTTCCTGCTTAGAGAGATGACACTGACAATTTTCTTTAGACTCCATCAAGACTGCATATAGGATTCTGACATTAAAAGTTTGTGCCATATATAGGTTGCACCATCCAGTACCCAGATTCATACATGACATTCTCATTATAGGAAAGTTTGTGTACATACTATGAGTCACTGTATACAATTCAGAGTCTCATACCTCTGTAGCCATCTCTTGCTATATCTCTTTGGAGGTTAGTCACCATATGGAGGTATATGACTAGACTTACTTGGATCAGCTTGGACCAGCCTTCAGATTCTGTGCCTTGGTTTCACTTACCAATATAAGTTTTATGTTTCCTGCTTGCAGAGAGTCTAGTCAAACAATTTCTGATTCATTATTGTTGTTCACACCATAGTTTCCAAATAAGAAAGGCTGCTTCTGGAATCAGGATGTGGAAGACTCTCTTTGTTCCCTTGGGTTTTGTTTCTGCATTCTTGAAAGTTCATAGACCACTACTTAGAATCATCCCTAAGGAGAGTGATGGCCAGAAGTCATGTTTCTGTTGCCAAAGCCCTTTTGTTAAATCCCATATTTGGTATCTTTTGGGAGCCTCACATTCCACTAGGATATGTTTGATTGTCTCAGGGACTTGGCAAATTGGGCATGTTCCCCTATATTCATAGTTCAGAATGTTGTTCCAGTATTGTCCAACTTTGTATGTGCCATGGTGGTTCACCATAGGAAAATTTAAACTGCTTTCCTTTACAATTTGTATTTTTACTTTGCAGATATCCATATGAGAAAGAAAGATATTTAACTTTTTCTTTGAGTCATCCAATTTGGTCATGTCACAAAATATCACATGATGTCACCTACCTTACCTTGTTGAACTTGGTCGATGTAGAAAACGGCGACGGCATCAGTACAGAGGTAATCATGGGCTTAGAAATTCAATAATATGAGTTCCTTCGGACTTCCGAACCTATCACCATTGAACCACCATCTCTACTTCGACTCTGCAGTTGGAGTACCAGCCTGAGGACGCGTTCCCGCACATGACGTTGGTTCCTTGGAACGGGCCGGTGTCCGCCTGGAGGAAGTTATCTCCACTCGACAGGTTTCTCTCTGAATTGTTGCATGATTGAACGGTGCCTGTAGCTGATTTTTTTTTCGTGTCCTGCTTCTGATTACTGTGTCCGCCTGACACCAGAGACAGAAGATCTTACTATTGACCGAGAAGCCTCCGAACTTGCATCTCGGTCCGAGAATCCCAGAGCATCTCTGCACCCGCTATGCACGGGAATGTAGACTTCTAGTCAAGTCCTTTTTGCAAGACGTCGATAGGCTGTTGGTCAGCAGACAAATATCATGACCATTCGCGCTGTGACCAATGGTGCATATATAATCGAAGATCCAGTATCCAGTATCTTCTCCTGCCAATGATGCAGCCTCCAACTCTTCTCTTCAGTCTCATCCAGCTCGCCGCAATCTCCTTGCTTTGCGTCGCACAGTCCTCTCCGGTAATTGACCTTGGATATGCTAAATACCGAGGAGTATTCGATCCCAGCATATCCAACAACACTCAGTTTCTTGGGGTGCGGTTCGCGGCGCCTCCCACTGGTGCGTGATTTAAGGGCGCTTCCTATATAGCTCTGTTCCCAAGGTACCTTTGTTCAGGCTCCTTGAGGTGGCAAGCACCCCGAACACCGGACTTTGTGGATGGCATACAGAACGCTACGTCAGAACCGGACGAATGTTTGCAAGCAGGAACAGGCGCCGGTGCCACAAATCCTTTTCCTGCGAACAAGAGGGCCCCTTCTGTTGCAGAATCTGAAGATTGTCTCTTCTTGAAGTGGGTTGCGAACATGTTCTGGCGTCTATTGTAGCTGTCATTTATCTATTCTCAGCGTGTATCTGCCTGGGCAGCTCGATTCTCAAACCTCTAGCAAAAATTTACCTGTCGTCGTATGGATTCATGGAGGAGGGTTTGGTGCTTTACTATTTATCGAGGAGTCTTATCTGAATGTTACTATAGTTATGTTGCCGGTGGTGCCGACACTTATGATGGGAACGACCTAGTCCTTGAGTCTGGCAACAAAGTCGTTGCCGTGGTTATCCAATATCGTCTGGGATTGTTTGGATTCCTGGCTGGAGAGTCAGTTAAAGCAAATGGCGTATTGAATGCTGGCCTTCGTAGGTTTTGTGTGTCTGCGGTTGGGTACGCGCTGACATTTCTGAGGCAGTGGATCAACAATTTGCGCTTCAGTGGGTCCAGGAACACGTGAGCTTTTCCTTTTTCCTGCATCTGTTTTGCCGTCATATTTACCGATCCGCCGAAGATCACCAAGTTCGGTGGAGATCCAAGCCGAGTCACTATCTGGGGCGAATCTGCTGGTGGGAATTGCGTGTATTCAATAACCTATCATCTGATGTAGTCGTATTCTAGGTGCTGGTTCTGTTCTTCAGCAAGTCATTGCCAATGGTGGACAGACGTTTCCGCCTTTGTTCAGAGGTGCAATAACAAGCTCCAGTTTCCTGCCTTCACAATATGCATATAACGATGTGGTTCCGGAGGTTCAGTATCTCCGTGCGAGTTAGAATTATACGAGGTGCTGACATGTATGGTCTAGTTCCTGTACAACACCGTGGTATCAAGGACGAAGTAAGTACTCGCAATTTTAGGCTGTTGCATTGATCTCTAAAATCGTAGGCAAGCTGTACCTCGGCGGCCGATTCGTTGACATGCCTGAGAAATGCTGACGCAGGGACTCTCGAAGAGATCAATGTTGACCTTTGTATCAGCGGATTTTTCGGCACCTACGTATTTGTGCCAGTTGTTGATGGAGATTTCATAAGGCAACGGCCGACGGTAGCTTTGGGGGAAGGAAAAGTCAACGGCGTAAGCTAGCAGCCACTGAGTTTTTCGATAGTCTCTAATCATCCTTCAAGGAGGTTGTCATGTCCGTTACAAACTCAAATGAGGGGCTCATATTCGTCGACTTGAGTACTGCAAACACTGTCCAGGTTCCTGACTATCTGACACAACTATTTCCGACCCTGAGCGCTCAGCAACGCGACGTTGCCGTTGCAAAATACGCTAGTCTTGGAACTCCAATCGAGCAGGTCACCGCTATAATGGGAGAATGTAGGTGTAATGC